TCCCTCTATTATAGTATCTCTTTTCTTGCTCTCCTCTATTCTTCCTCTGCCTCAATTTTCCTGCTACCTCATGTCTTCATCTCCCCTCCCCCATGCTCCTAATGATCTCAGAAGACCTTGTCCCTTTCCCCTTCCCCAGGGGACCATGTATGTCTCTCTTAAGGTCCTCCTTATTTCCTAGCTTCTCTGGTGTTATGGATTGTAGGCTGGTAATTCTTTGCTCTATGTCTAAAACCCATACATGAGTGAGTAAAACCATGTTTGTCTTTTTGTGACTGGGTTACCTTGCTCAGGATGGTTTCTTCTAGTTCCATCCATTTGCCTTCAAATTTTAATATTCCATTGCCCCCCTCAAGTAGTACTCCATTGTGTAAATGTACCACATTTTCTCTATCCATTCTTCAGTAGAGGGGCATCTAGGTTGCTTCTAGGTTCTAGCTATTATAACCAATGCTGCTATGAACATAGTTGAACAGATGTCCTTGTTGTATGAATGTACATCCTTAGGGTATATGTCAAAGAGTGGAGTTGCTGGATCTTGTGGTAGACTGATTCCCATTTTCCTGAGGAACCACCATACTGATTCCCAAAGTGACTGAACAAGTTTGCACTCTCACCCACCAGCAGTGGAGGAGTGTTCCACTTTCTCCACATCCTCTCCAGCATAAACGGTCATTGGCGTTTTTTGATTTTAGCCATTCTGACTGGAGCAGGATGATATCTCAGAGTTGTTTTGATTTGCATTTCCATGATGGCTAAGGATGTTGAGTACTTTCTTATGTGTCTTTCAACCATTTTAGATTCCTCTATTGAGAATTCTCTATTTAGTTCTGTACCCCACTTTTCAATTGGATTATTTGATGTTTTGGTGACTAGCTTCTTGAGTTCTTTGTATATTTTGGAAATCAGGCTTCTGTCAGATGTGGGGTTGGTAAATGTCTTTTCCCATTCTATGGACTGCTGTATTGTCTTATTGACTGTGTCCTTTCCCTACAGAAGCTTCTTAGTTTCAGGAGGTCACATTTATTCATTGTCAATCTCAGTGTCTGTGCTACTGCTGTTATATTCAGGAAGTGGTCTCATATACCAATTCATTTGAGGGTACCTCCTAGTTTCACTTCTAAGAGGTTCAGTGTGGCTAGATTTATGTTGAGGTCTTTGATCCATTTGAACTTAAGCTTTGTGCATGGCGATAGATATGGATCTATCTCCAGATATTTCTTAACACTTCTTTTATTTAAAATAATATATCAAATAAAGCCTAGAAATGTTGGTGAGGCTGTACCCATGTACCTCACAAAGACAGCACAATGGCCTGATTTAGAAGAGCAGAATTCCCCACAGAGGAAACAAGTTATTTTACAATAGTATACTAACTACATCTGAAAATAGAATGTCAAGCATTTTGAAGATATTAAAGGGAAAGGGATGAAATTTAGAGAAAATTATAGTCAATTGGAAAGAAAAACAAAAGGATGAAGATTGCAAAAATGTAGTCTGATTGATTTCCTTGGGAAAAATCAATCAACGGTGGATTTGCTTCAAACCAGTGGGGGAAAACAACAATTAGTATGTCTTCTAAAGTTAGGGTTTTTTTTTTCACTTAAGAGAGGAGTTATTGGACTTTAAATTATACAACAAAGCCTAATAGCCATATTGTCTAGTCACTGTTTCTGTGACTGGCCAACACAAACCCATGGTCCTTTGTTCATGCTCTCTTGGTCTCTCCCTCTGATGGTGACTTTGAATTTGGCAATATATGCCCATTCTAATTATCCCAACTTTTTTATATTTAAGAAAGAGTGGGATACCAGTTTTGACACCTTCTGGCTTCTTCACTAAAATTCTACCAGAACTAAAATGTTTTGAGAGACTATGGCTTTACACTTCTGATTTACACTCAATATCTGAAATATAGAAAAGGAGGGAGAGGAAGATACCAACCATCAAATAAGCAATATCAAATTTCTGTCTAAATGAGAAAGCAGTTGAAAGAAAAGGGAGAGGCATTAAACATGGAGCTGGCCAAGAGTCAGATAATTGCAGGAAGGGATATGAATCATTTGACAGAGTGACAGTTGCCCAGAAGCAATAAACTCAATCACTATTTTATTCAGAAAGTACAGGTAAGCCTGTGGTGTTCAATTTGAATGGGTTAATGTCTCCAGGATTTGATGGCAACAAGGCAGAATCCCCAGTCTTCCATGTTGGGGTATGGAGGAAAGATAGAGATGACAGAAAGGCAATTTCAATTAAGTTTGGTGAATGTTACTTTATCCCATTTGTGATGGAAAAGAAGACACTGTCAACCAAAGGTTATGTCCACTATTAAAATAAAGGAAACAATGCTTTAAAATATCTCTTTATTTGTAAGCAAGGAATTCAAAACACATTTATGAAAAATTCCCATATAATTCTGCACCTGGACCGTGCAATATTTCAGTGTAAAATTTTATTATTGTTCTATGTAACTCTGAAAGATTAGAATTAACTTGTACTCCTGAACTCAAAGGGGTCATTTTCCAAAGCTATAAAGAATTAACAGGGCTTGGAATGTACCTGCATGATACCCTGATATGCACAAGACCCTTGGTTTGGACCCAACATCACAAGACATTGAGATAACAAAGAACAATAGCTTATTTCCTCAAACTGGTTTCTCCCTGCAAGAGTCCTTGTTCATGTTCTCAGCCATGGTTCCTTGAGCTTGCATATGTCCTTAATATTTGAGTCTTTGGGTTCTTGCTGATATGGATTAGGTGACATGTTCTTGATTCCAGTTAACACTCATCATTGGATATAATAGTTCCTCATCTTATAAAGGCATTCCTCTGTTCCTCCACATACATGGACTAATCTAGGCAATGAGTTTTCCAATGGCCACTCCTCAGTGGCTTGTAACAGGACAACTACACAAGGCCATGAGATGATTACTTCAAATTCTCACCATGGGGACAGAGATTGATCACATAATTTGCATGACCCTGTGCAACAAGAAAATGCAAAGTCCTCATTAAAAATTTATTAGGAAATTTAAGGCAGCAGCAACAAGGAAATAAACCAACTGTGGGACCTTTATTAGTGCAGAACCCATGGAATTTGATAGCAGTTGATCCCCATGAAGCTAGTTCTAGATAGACATTTCTCTAAGAATCTTTCTCCTCAGTTTTGACACAGAGGAGCCTAATGGATTTATGGAAATACAGAGAACCTGTCCATGTGTTTTGAGCATCAATTGAGAACCACTCAAATAAAGCAACACAATAAATTAAATGCATCCCCATGTTCTGCATAAACACATTTCTCTATGCCTTTATTTCTTACTTTTCTTGCTGAAATTTCTTTTTTCTTTCTTTGGTTTCAGATTCACCCAAGAACCTAACAGAAGCATTCGTTATATAAATAGGAAAAATAACCTGTGGAAAATATATTGTGAGGATTTGAAATATCTTACATACTTGCAAACCAAATGGATCTCATATTTGCACTTTGGCTGATTACCAGATAATCACAGTGCATTTACTCTGTGAAACAAAGTGTCCCATAAGAAGAATCGGGATTCCCTGGCAACATCATGGAAAAATGGCTTAAAAATGAGTTTTCTCAGTGAAATTTGGAGGATCATGAAGAACGATCAACTGTCTTCTAACTTGGAACTACTGTTACTTTGTACCATTTGAAATATATGTATATATAATATTTTGAAATATTATATATTCTCTTCAAGAAATGAACAGTACCACGGTGTGAGGTGGCTGGTGTATCCCTTTCAGTTTTGGATGTTTGGTCGGTTTTGTTTTGTTTGCCATTTCTTTTTCTCTCGGTGAGGAAGATACATGCCCGTGTGAGAATCCAACATGGCACTCTCCCTGGAAAGCCAGTTGCAGGCGGACTCCTGGAATCTGAGGCATTCTAACAATACTGAGTCAAGAGCTTCTCTCTGTTTCTACCTGGTGACCCAAGGAAGCTCATCGTCTTGTTTTATTGCTTTCTATCCTGTGCAATATTAGCATGCAAGCTTGGCTTACATAACCATACTTTATATTCAATTGATATACAATAACCGTTCTAACCTCTTCCAGGAAAATATTTTTAGAACTCCTAGCTTTTCCACAGATAAGCAAATGAGGATTCTTGAGGGAGATGCCCCTCCACACTATAAGACTCTGGCAGGGTGGTAGGTTGTAGATCCCTATATTTATAAGTCCTGTAAATACAATGTTTTAGGGCTTTGTATAGCTGTCCTAGACTGCAGACGTATCCTCTGATTAAATCCAAAGTCTGGCATTGTTAACTGCGTAGTGCTGTAGTGATGAGTCTTATCATGGCACCTCTTTCTATGTTTGATTTGCTTTTTCCTAGAGTATTTGAATCTCCTCTGGTGAGATAGGAAGGCTATGAAAGCAATTAGGTTTCCCCATGATCTGTGTGACCAAATGTTGGACAGCCCTATTAAAGTGGTAAATAACTTCTTTCTTAACCCACTTGTCCTCTGTGTCTGCCATTTAGTTTTACAGACTATGCTTTAACCAAACCACAAGAATACCCTGCTATGTCTGTAGTTAGCCAAAAGGTCTTTGAAACTATGGTTTCCAAAAATAATCTTTTGAAACCTAGAAATTCATTAACATGATCATACTGAAATATCCGATGACAATTTCAGGGCTTCCTGTAGGTCATTCTGATGATATACATGGGGCTTAACCACCCACCCCACAAAAAAAGTCATTTTCCCTGTCCTTTTGGAGTTACTGAGCTAAGAGTAAACATCTACTTAAGGTCTAGTTTTCCTGGGGAGAGTTTTCATCGAATTTTTTACTCCTGTTACCATGTCATCTCAGAGGAGCAGATGTATTTTGTTTTCTCCCAAATTTATTCTCTGGCATCTGTGTTGTTAGTGCCTCTTCCTAAGTCAACAGCACTGCGTTCCCTGGATCTGGACCTATTAGTATCAAACCTCAAGAAAAACTTGAAAAACTTCGGGAACTCTACACAGATAGCCTGAAGTTTGATTGAATGTGTGAACTTCTAACCAGAAAATTTGATTCTGTATCTTGAAGGCCTGTAAACATCATCTCAGGATAAAATAGAATCTTGACTGTAAAATGGAGACTTCCAAACAATTCTGTGGTTATTTGCTAAAAAGGGAACATAAAATTCATACCAGTACCCAGGTGTAGTGGCTAGTGATTGATAGCCATTACTTAAGATCCCAGCACTTGAAAGATGGGAATGGGAGGATTGAGAGTTCAAAGTCAGCCTGGAATACAGATTAGACTCCTTCCCCAAAACAAAAGAAAAAAATTCATTCCAGAAGTCCTTCCTGAGTTTTACAGTACATATTCAAGTGCCAAACAATATACTTAAAAAAAAACTACTTTTCATCTGCCAAATTCATATTAAAATCAAAACCATGGACCCTAAGAATTATATATTTAAGGAATAAAACTAAAATAGAAGTGTTTGGCAGAGAATTTGGCAGGGCCTTTAACACAACAAAAGACAGTACAGCATCAAGGAAGACTAGAACAAGAAAGTCAGGTTTGAAACAAAAATAAATAAATAAATCAAGCTGCAAATGCTGTTGTAGTGTCATGTTCTCCAAAGGGTAGACTTAGCTCTGACATTAGAGTCCCATGGAGTCTTCTTCTACTAACTTTGATAACAGATGAAAATCCAATGAGAAGAAAGCAGGCTCTTCAATTTGCAAAAACTTTCTTTGTAAGACAATTCTGCTAACACACATAGTATGTGAAGCTCCAGGAGCTCTAACTCAATGTAAGAGCTAGCCTCAAAGGCTACATCCTTTAGCTCACTCCTATCCATGGATCCATGCAGTAGCATCCCTTGAAGACACCTACAGAAAGAAACCACATCAGAATCAGGCAGCCATCCAATAAGACAGTGCAAATATTTGTAAATGTCAAATTCAATTTGGATTCATCCAAGCCCCTTACACAAATGTGTGAACCATCAAATTGTGTTTAAATTTAACTTGTTCAAATTTGGGGAATTCAGTTGCTACCATCTGCCTACTGAGCCTGCACATTTATGGTGCACAAAATTTTATCACATGAATATGGTAATAAAGAGATCAGTGTGTATGACTAATATCAATTTTAAGATTGTGCCCCATGTACCATGAAAAATGTAGTAACATAATTGGAATATATATACAAAGTTCCAGCCAGAGTTCTGTTCTTGATAAAAGAGAAAGTGAAGCTTGTTCGGAGATTTTTGAAGTGAGTCAAGTTTATTTGTTGACATTTTGGGGTTCTTGGTTTTACCTATTCATTGACTCCGAAAACTCATTGGGAAGTTGACTACTCGGCATTTTCCAGCATGGAGTGACAAGTGCTTTCACCAACACACAGCCTACATCTTTTCTCGATTAAATCATGTTCTTTCACAAAGCAATACAGTGATTTTTATAGTGCGATATATTATGCCACCTTGTCATTCTCACTGATACAGTAAGTTATGGAGGGTATAAATATTGTTTATAGTAGTAGAATCACCCATTCCTCCCATACATGGAGTTTCTCTACTAATTAAGTTCAGCAGTTCCATTTCAAAAGCTCTTAGTTTGACACTAGAACTTGTCATGTCTTTTTACATGAGCTAAACAAGCAGGGTTAGTGTTTAGCAAAATTGTAAGACTGAAGCCATTCCCAAATATTTTCTAAATAAAAGAACACATGATAAAAGACAGGATTAAAAATGGGAGTATTTGGGACAAGTGGCATTGGGGATGGGATCTAATTCCCTAGAAATCACAGACTTTGTACCAAAATGATTAAAAGGAATGATGTTTATACTTCAAAGTAAATTAAAGAGGCCAAGAATCAATCTTTCTCTCTCCATCCTTCCCTCTTCCTCTCTTTCTCCCTCTCCCCCTGTCTCATACTCCACTCTCTCACACACTAAATTGCCTATTAAAGATTTTGTGATTTTAGGCTTTGTGGGTGGGATTTTTTTTCCCTTGAAAAGTAGCTCTAAGTCATCATTGGCTGTCATAGCATCTTTACATTATTGCCTTATAGCTGGTTCCCATTTGTTTATTCTGTTTATTTCAGTGAGTTTACTTAAATATATATTGAGCCATTGCTATGGCTCTCAGAAAATAAAAGTGCTTGCTACCAGGCCTGATTAGTGATCTTCAGAACTCACATGGTAGAAGGAAAGACCCAACTCCAGCAAATTGCCCTCTGGCTTCTACACACACTGCATGGCAGTGCTCATGCACACACACTCACACACAGCAGATTCAATTTCTATCCACTCTAACTTTGAAGTAACCAAACTAGTAGGAAGGGGAAATTAGGGGGGCTGAGAGAAAGGCACTGCTAACTTGAGAGATTCACATGACTTGAGAAGCTTGTGTATATATACTCAAAATAATGTAGGCCAATGATAAATGGCCTCCCCATGATTTTCTATGCTGTGCACACAACATTCCACCTGTGAAATCGATGTATTATTCCTTCTTTCTCATAAAAATACCCTCTCCATTCTTACCTGGACTGTAGGGAGTGTTTAATTTTATTTGATTTCTGACCTGGACTTTGTCACTGGGGTCAAACTGAAAAATCTAAAGGTCTCTCGTCTGTGCCATCCATTTCACTTATTTGCATTTCTACCTATCTGCTCCCTTTCACATTGCAGGCCCATAACATTATACATATTGAAAACAGCCCTCACTTTATAAGCACCTAATAGATCAAGTTCTTGCTTTCCACCCACAACCTGGAAAAACATGCATACTTTCTCTGGGCTTTCATTTGTGCAAGATGGGTATCACTACACAAAATTTGAAGATTATAGGAGGACTAGGGAGAAAGATGCAGAAACATTTTACATAAACCAAGTGGTATGAGTAATTAGCCTTATCAGTGCCAGTGAGGAGCACCAGTGGTATCTCTATACCATCATTCTAGAAGCTCTTTGTCAGTGGTCCACACTCAAGACAGACACTGAAAACCAAGCCACCATGTTATTTCACACTCTCTTTCTATAATGTTCAAAGACTGGACAGATTCATACTTCTAGATTCATATCTAGAAGTTACCATTCGATAGTACCACTACTAGTATTTTTCAGTCACTGGCAAATGCTAGTGTAAGCCACACTTGACTAATGTCATTGACACAAGCAAGCAACTGACGAAAAAGGCATAGCTAATGTTCAGAATAAATGTGAATGTAATTCAATAATAATAGCCTGAGCCATCTGGTTTGTAAGGAGATGATGATCAACAATCATGAAAGGTCATGACCAGACACCTTCTCCACACAGAGCTGTCAACTCATTCAGGCTAATTGGCCAAGCAGATTTATGTAGCAATCTCTATTACTCCAGAAGTATGGCATCTGGATTTTTTTTTAAATATCTACCTCACTGTTAAACGTCATGCTTATTTATCCAGTCACTTATTCATTCAAGAAAAAAATATCTATTGTGTTTTTACAATAAGCCATTCCAGTAGTAGATACTGAGAATGACATAACACCTTCTATAAATGACAAAAGTAATCTAATAACCAAGAATCATGACATGATTAATTCCAAAGGTACCAAGAAAGTAAATGATGGGAGGGAAATGCTGTTTTAAGTAGAATACTCACAGAATGTCTTGAGGAGGTAGCATTTAGTTTGAGAACAGGAGCATAAAGGGAAATGAGAGAGTTGAAGGGAGTGATAATGAGGAGGCTATATGCAGATTCCAGGTGGCAAAGGCCTGTGCAAATGCTGTAGTCAAGGAAGAGCTGGATGTGTTTGCAAAAGCACCTCTGTACAGCATTGGGAAAGGGATCTTGAAGTTACATCATGTAGCATATACACACAATTAAAACTTGAACTTCTATCTGCATTGTAACAAGAAGTCATTATCAAGGGGGCTTAGAAGCAGGAAGTAACCCAATCTGATTTAAACTTGTATAGGCATCATTGGTGTCAAGTCATACCCTCCACTTACTTAAATCCTTGTCCATGCAGAAAAAAAAAATCTAGGTGTGGTACAAGGAATTCGAAAAGCAACCATTGATCACTAACCAATGAGACTCGAGGATAAAACTCCCAACTTCCTCCCTTTCAAATGGGAACATCTGAAGCATATTCTGTGTTCAAGCTCTGTGGTGAAGACTGTACAATTTGTAGATGGCCTACATTTGAGCTGTCTAATTGGAAATTGTTGGAACATGTGGCTCTCAAGCTCTTGGATGATGTAACCATAAGTGTAAGGACTTACATCTACTTAGAATTATCATTGATTTAAAGTTGGGTTTTAGTTTGACCAGATCAGCTGCTGCTGCATTGGGCAGCAGAGGTTTGTCCATCCATCCTGAATTCCAAGTAGGTTACAGATGACCAAACCCACAGTCTACTCACAAACAAGCTTTGACTGCTTTACCTTCAATTCCTGACCTATATCCTTGCTTCCTTACCCGTGTGTCTCAAGTTCATCACTCAGACTTCTTACCTCAAAATCTTTGTGTCAAGGTCTTCCTATGAAGAGCCCAAATTTTTTAAGAGCCAAATGGAGATGAGATTGAATAGTACACAAATGGAACTGATGTTACCAGTGTTTAGTTACATGCACAAAATATTTACCTCATCTGAGCCTGAAGATAGAACAATGAATACTGCTGATCCTTTTGTAGATGGTTGATGCCCTTAATTCAGGTTACCTCAGCCAATTGCTAAAGACATGCAGATAACAAACAAGTTCATGTGGGCCTGGAGTAAAAGCTCTATCTGGAAAGTGCTTGTTTTCTAAGCATTAGGACCTGAGTTCAATTTCCCAAACTCTTATAAAAGTGGGTGTGGTGATACATGCTTGTGATTCCAGTGCTAGAGAGGCAGAGGCAGAGAGATGTCTTAGAATCTCTGTTCAACCAGACTAGCCTAAAAATATTGATCCCCCAGGTCCCAATGAGAAACTGTCTCAAGTGTCTCAGAGACAGCCATAGTGATAAAGGTTTAGCTTCCTTTTATTTATTCTGTTCCCATGGGACCCAGATTCATTGGCAGTGAACTCAGTTCAAATGGAATTACTAATGAGAAGGTCTGCAATTATCATACTGTTCTCTCACATTCTAAAGTAAGCTGAGCATAGTGGTGCATGCCTGTAATCCCAGCATTTGAGAAGCTAAAGCAGATGGATGGAAAGATCAAGTTCAGCCTGGGACAAACTCAGGGCCCTGCCTTAGGAAAAATAAAAAGTAAACATGTCATCTGTGTAGGTGCATTTGGGTCCTGACATCAGAGTCACTTAAAACCCTGCAATTGGTTCATGGATTGGCATCCTATACAACAACAGCCAGTGTTAACAATGGGAATATGGTGAGTTAGCTCAAGTACCAGCTTAGAACTTTTAAAGACCTGGACAAATGATTCTCAAGTCATCAAGAAATACCATGAGTGACAGCACCTCTAAGAATCCAGTTAGGAGGTTGTTTTCTCCCAGTGACATTCTTTCTGGAAGTACTATGAGAAAACCCCCCAAAAGTGTTTTTTTTAATATTTCTGCTCAAAGCAAGAAAAACAAAGAAAAGGCAAATGTCTACCTGAATCTGGTCTTGTGTGGGCACCAGAGAACTTAGGTTTCTTTCAAGCTGCTACTGTTCCTATTTTCTATGTCAATAAAAATTATCTTCAGGCTAAAATACCTGGAAGGAATATTGTAAAGAAAGAAATATACCCAGGTATACCCAGGATGGGGAAGGAGATTTGTAAGACTGCAGCCAGTTATCCTCTGTCACTCTGGGTGCAGTGCTGAGGGAAGGCAGACAGGGGTGTTTTGTTCTTATGGGTAACTGTATGTGAATATTCCCACCAGAGCTTATTCCAAACTGTGAATATGGAGTTGAGGGATGATGCATGTGGCCAACTTCTATAGCCATGGAAATAGTGTCTGGTTCATCATTGCCTGCATGCCCTCAAAAATTACACTCTTTATTCTTCATGCCAAAAGAAAGAATTTACCCAACTACTATCACACCAGTGTATGGGAAATTCTGAGCTTGCTGGGAGAGGTGCCAAGAATTAGAATCAATTAATATGATTACTGTTGTCAACAAGACATAGGTCCTAAAACCTAAAATCCAGAGACTCAGAGATCAATCCAAAGCAAAAGTGTAGAGTTAATTGTGAATAATTAAAGAATAGTAATCTATAATTTGGTTTCATTAAAATAAAATCACATCCAATACCATTTTCATTGATCTTGTTTGAAAC